GGGGAAGGTGGGTGTACAAGCAGAGCCCTCCCCGTGCCTTGGTTGTGCGGTTTCTTTCATCTGCTATCGCCCTTAGGCCAGCCTCGTCCCCCCATATGGGTGCCGCTGCCCATTGGGTTCCAAGTGCCACTGGTTGATGTCACATGCTGTGATTTAGTAAAAAAAAAAGCCATGTTTTGAACCACAAGAGCTGGCACGCCGTGCCGCTGCACGCCCTCCGCCTCCCGCAGACACGCACACCACACCATACACACACACACACACACACACACACACACACACCATGAAGGTGACAGGGAGCACTGGGTCCCCAGGGAGGGACATGTGGCCATATTGTACCCCAGCTGCCTCACAACCACTGCCTCTCCCCCCGCTGCCCAGCCTGAGAGGGGCTGTGGGGTCTCATGGAAAGCCGGGATCGCCCCAGGCCGTGGCTGTGGGATACTCTGATCCATGGGGATCTCCCTGCTCCAGGGGAGCCAGGACCCAGAGCCTCACCCCTGCCAGCCCCTTCCCAGCATTTTATGCCCACTGTCTCCTGCCCCCCTCCAGCAGAGAGAAGAGCCAGTGAGCGCAGCAGCATTTATTGAGGACCCCTAACTGGTGTAAGAAGCCCCCATCCCGCCCCACCCCAGGCAGAAAGGCCACCGCTGCTGGCAGCCCTTGCTCCACCGCTGGCTCCTTACGCCGATGCCGCTCGGGCTTTGGCCACCCCATAGGACCGCATCCTCTCCTCCAGCACAGGGCGGAAGTGGCGGATGAGACCCTGTGCAAACGGGATGGAGTTAACGGGGCAGGAAGAAGGCTGTTCACACCCTGCACCGGGCCCCAAATCTATGCCCCCACCTGCACGGGCCAGGCAGCGCCATCGCCCAGGGCGCAGATGGTGTGACCCTCAATCTGCTTGCTGATCTCCCACAGCGCGTCGATCTCGTCCGCCTGGGCATTGCCCTGCACGAACCGCGCCATCACCTTGTTCATCCAGTCCACGCCTGCGGGGAGGGGAAGGCCGTGAGGGGCCTGCGGTGTGGGGGTGGCCCCCCTGCCCCACAGATCACCACCCTCTGCCTTAGGCCGATACTCACCTTCCCGGCATGGGGTGCACTGCCCGCAGCTCTCGTGCTTGTAAAACTCGATGAGGCGAGCGATGGCTTTAATGATGTCGGTCTGGAGAGGGAGGGGAGGGTGAGGGGGTGGTATGGCACGAGTTGGGGACAGGGGGACAGGGCTCCTCCCTTACCGATTTGTCCATGACGATGATGGCAGCCGTGCCAAGCCCACTCTGCGCCTGCACCAGGGCATCGAAGTCCATCAGCACGGTCTCGCACACTGACTTGGGGAGCAGCGGCGTGGAGGAGCCTCCTGGGATGATGGCCAGCAGGTTGTCCCAGCCCCCACGGCCACCGCCTGCCAGAGAGAGGGGGAACACAGTGGGCTAAGCTGGGCCCAGCGCCGGCCTGGCATGGCTCGGTGAGGTGTCCCGCAGCACTTACCAGCGTGCTTCTCGATCAGCTCCTTCAGCGGCACCGACATCTCCTCCTCCACGGTGCAGGGGTTGTTGACATGACCCGAGATATTGAAGAGTTTCGTCCCCGAATTGCGCTCCCGCCCAAAACCGGCGAACCAGGTGCCGCCTCGCCGGCAGATGGTGGGGGCTACGGCCA